GGCCATCTCCAAACACTTGGCGCGCAAGGCAGAACTTGCTGGTCCCTGGCCAAAAACTTGGAGATGCGGAACCAAGTTTTTGGAGCAAGCACTTGGCATGAAGGCCCAAGTAGTTGGCCCCACTCCCAACAACTTAGCCTTGCCAAGATGTTTGGCCATCTCCAAACACTTGGCGCACAAGGCAGAACTTGCTGGTCCCCGGCCAAAAACTTGGAGATTGGAAACCCAAGTTTTTGGAGCAAGCACTTGGCATGAAGGCCCAAGTGGTTGGCCCCACTCCCAACAACTTAGCCCGCCTTGCCAAGATGTTTGGCCATCTCCAAACACTTGGCGCACAAGGCAGAACTTGCTGGTCCCTGGCCTGGCCAAAAACTTGGAGATGTGGAACCAAGTTTTTGGAGCAAGCGCTTGGCATGAAGGCCCAAGTGGTTGGCCCCACTCCCAACAACTTAGCCCGCCCTGCCAAGATGTTTGGCCATTTCCAAACACTTGGCGCGCAAGGCAGGCTTGCTGGTCCCTGGCCAAAAACTTGGAGATTGGAAACCCAAGTTTTTGGAGCAGGCACCAGGCATGAAGGCCCAAGTGGTTGGTTGGTTGGTTCACAACTTATCCTGCCTCGCCAAGTATTTGGCCATCTCCAAATACTAGCAGCAGAAGGCAATGTTGCTGGGCCGCGGCCAAGAACTTGGAGATGGGAAACCCAAGTCTTTGGAGCAAGCGCTTGTTGTGAATGCCCCTACCCCAACTATTGAGCCTGCCTCTCCCAAGTTTTTGGCAATATCCAAACACTTGGCGCGCAAGGCAGAGCTGCTGCCCCCCTGCCAAAAACTTGGAGATTCCAAAAGACTTGGAGATGGGGAACCAAGTGTTTGGAGCAAGCGCTTGGCGCGAAGGTCCAAGTGGTTGGCCCCACTCCCAACAACTTAGCCCGCCTTGCCAAGATGTTTGGCCATCTCCAAACACTTGGCGCGCAAGGCAGGCTTGCTGGCCCTGGCCAAAAACTTGGAGATGTGGAACCAAGTTTTTGGAGCAAGCACTTGGCATGAAGGCCCAAGTGGTTGGTTCACAACTTATCCTGCCTCGCCAAGTATTTGGCCATCTCCAAATACTAGCAGCAGCTTGGAGATGCGAATCCCAAGTCTTTGGACGCTTGGTATGAAAGCCCCTACCCCAACTGCCTCTCCCAAGTTTTTGGCAGTATCCAAACACTTGGCGTGCAAGGCAAAGCTGCTACCCCCCTGCCAAAAACTTAGAGATGGGGAAGCAAGTTTTTCCAACCTTGCCTTACACGGGGGCTTTTTGGTGCGCCAAAACTAGGCTTCAAAGGTTTTCAGGGTACTTGGGCGACATGCTTGGGGTGGGGCTGGGGCATGTCCGAAGAAGATGTTCGCTTTCCCTTTCCAGTCGCCAGAAGAGGACTTTCAATTTCCAGCCGACCCCGCCAAAAAAACACTTTAGCCTGGCTGGCACTGGGCAGAAGGGGACTCTAGCCACGAGAAGCCAACCCTTTGAGGGTGATTTCAGCCCTTTTCCAAGGGGGCTTTCCGTTTTCCGTTTCCAGCTACAGCCGGTCCGTTTTTCCAGGCTTTCGGCCGTTTCCGGAAGGGGGATTTCCATTTCCAGACTTGGAAACGGAAGCGAAAACGGAAGCGGCCCCGCCAGGCGAGGAGCCTCTAAAAAACCAGCCCGGGCGCGCCTGGCTTGTTTCTCGTCTTGTTTTGCCGGACGTGTTGCCCAAACCCTCCTGAAATGCGACAAAACGCTTAAAATCATGGCCACAAAAGCTAACTTGAACTAGCGTGGGCTTGTTTTCATTGATTGCTGGTCTTGTTTTCATGGGGCAGCTGCTACGGCTCAAGGCTACACCAGGGCTCAGTTACCCACCCACCGCTGAATGGCGAAGCGTCAACTTAAGGGCAGGCGCGGGCCACCTCGCAAAGCGAACAGCGTCATCAAGCGGAAGTGCCAGTTCAAGAAATGTCGGCGCGGTGTGGATGTGAAAAACATCAGCAACAAGCTCACTCTGGCCAAAAGTCAAGTGGACGCAGCCTCTTGCAGAAACATATCGGAAAGGTGCCAGGCAGTCAAGTTCTGCTGTGAAGACCACATGAAAGCCTGCAAGAAGAACAAGGCTGCAGCCAAGCCACGAGGTGGGAGAGCTTGCTTGGACATTGCGCAAATCCAGTGCTTGTTCTCTGTGCTCCTGGAGGACGGGTGTGCCTGGGCAGCAGCCCTCATGATGACCCAGCTCTTCATGGGGGATCGTGCTGACGCAGCACGTCAGCGCCAATGGTCTTGGCTGGAAAATCTGGCCTACCATGCGCATCCCACGAGTAAATGGCAAAACAATTGCCAGGGAGGTGGCGCTTTTCCCTCCCTTCGCCCGGCTGCTTTGGAAATGGTGCCAAGTCAGCCCCCTCCAAGCCAAAAATGGGAGCCAGTGGCCTTGCGGCCACAAGCCCAGCGGAGATGACCTTTTGTTCCCAGGTTACAGCAGCGATGGTCAAAAAAGGCAATGGGACAAGGCCATCTCTGAACGAGCCTATTTGGCCCGACTTCATCGCGCAGCCTCAGTCATTCAGAAAGCCCGCCGGCAAGCTGAAGAATCGCAGGAGCAACACGCATTTTGCGACTTCGACCTGAGCAAGCTAGGCACACACTCGTTCAAAAAAACAACAGTGACTTTGCTGTCTGAAGCCCATGTCGCGTACTCCGTCATCAGTTCAATTTGCGGCACTTCAGTCAAGGTGCTCCAGAGCACATATGACTTGGCCACGCCAAGCCGCCAGTCCTCCGCATGGCGGGTGGCCTTTAAGGACCTGGCAGACACGCTTGATGCTGGTGGGAAAGCCGCTGCGCTGAGTCACTGCGGTGGGTGCGGGAAAAAGCAAGGCAATGACAAACACCGCTTTTGCACGGACTGCGGCATGGAGCTTTGAATTGAATTGCTGCACTGCTTGCCACGCAACGCTGTCTCACATCCTGTCTCACTCGGATGCATGTGCTCACTCTGTCAGCGCAGGAAGAAGCAGCTTTGATAATGGAAGCAACACAAAGTAGTAGCTCATGTCACATGAAATTGATGTCATTGAAAATTGCATGGCTCCCGATAATTTCGCCCGTGGCTGGCGGATTGCCAGGTCTGGCCTGGCCTGCGGACTCCTGGTCCGGCCCTCAGCTGAGTCTTGATGGCAACATGGAGGGAACACTTGTTGTGACTTACTTACGCGCTCGTGACATTGCTGGGGCTTCGAGTCAGGGAAAGCAGGCAGCCGCTTTGAAGCTCTATGAGCTGCACCTTGGTTTGCGGAACCGGCGCCTCACCTGCTCTGTCTCACTCATGGAGCCAATAAGGGCGGCCCGGAAAGGGGACTGCATCCAATCCGACACCGCCTTGCGGTGGGCTTCTGAGGCTTGAAGGCCCATCTCGTTGGTGTAGTACAACTTCGCGAGCTTGCAAAACTGGGCCTTTTGCTCGATCACCTTGCCTGGTTGCATGCTGTTGCAGGCGCAACTCAACACCTGAGACTAAAAGGACTTACTCATGAACAAAAACCTGAACAAGAGCTACTGTAAGCCAAGCCAGGGACCCTGGAGGCGAAGGTCCGCTGGTGGCTGGAACCTCCCCTGATCGTCCTGCGATCTGCGTTGGCCATCGCCGCCTTGTCCGCAGCAGCCTCATCTAGGTCAGCCTTCTCCGCCTCAAATGGCCCGTAAACAATCTCGTCCTCTTCCTCTCCTTCGGGGGCTGTTCCTGCTGCACTTGGCTTCTTCATCATGGAAGGCTTGCGCTTGACACCCCCGCGTTGCTGCGTGCTTGCGCTGGGCCCCTGCGCCACCGCCTTTGGCTGCGCCTTTGCCTTGGCCTTTGACTTTGCCTTGGCTTTGGCAAGCCCCTGACTGCTGCTTTGCTCCTTCTTTGGCTCTGACTTGGCCTTGGCATGAGCTGCTGCCTTTAAGGCTTTGCCCTGACAACCTTTCTGCTCCTCTGCCCCCGGCTTTCCCGCGGGCTTCTTCAGAACCTGGGCCTGTTGAAGCTCTTCTTCAACTTCCTCCTTGAGGCTTGTCGTGTTCTTCGTGTGACCGCCAGCCGCCGCCACCTGCGAAAACAACCCCGACAAGGTTCTGGGAGCTGGCGCAGAAGGTGGCTGGAATGGGCTTCCCTGCTGAGCAGTCTTTTTGACATTCGTGGGAGTGAGCAGCGGGGACACAGGCCCAGGCTGCGCAGACCGCCGCTGCTCATCAATCACTTCTTCTTCCAAAGCAGACCAGTCCATGAGACTCAACCGGCAGCAGTCAGGGCTGAGAGAGTTGGAGCCACTGGCGAGCTCAAGATTCAGAAATGACATGCTTGCAATATCCGCAAAGTTGGGGCAACAACGCATGCAAGCTGTTTTTCTTTTTGGGATCTAGAGCAGCGATCGGGTGTGTCCTACTATAGCACTGACTGTCTTCAAATCTCAAGGCATGATGCCTCAAATCACAAAAGTTCCGCCTTAGAACGAGACTTCTGCTATAGGGTCAGGCGGTTTCCTATTTCCCAAAGCTTCTACGGGCACCGGTACACGGAGCCCTGAAGATCTCACACAACACGGACGACCTGCTGGGGCTGCAAGGGAAGATCGCGCTTGAGGAAGAACTCGGGCCTCTTAGGCACCATCACGCCCAGGGCCATGTCCACAGTGAGGACCCAAGAAAGCTGAATGCGAGGTGAGGCGTGGATGAGCTTGGCCGGTAGATAGCTTCCCAGGTTGCTGCCCCTGACGGTCTCAATGGATGGCGCGGCCTTTGGCTTCAAGCACCAGGTCGTTGCGTCTTCAGGCTTGATCTCAAAGTGATCCACATCGCCTGGGGCATGCGCTGCTCCTGAGGGCCGCTCGCAGGAGTGGCCCCAAACCTTCAGGCTCACCTCTGAGGAGATTTCGCACATTACCTGAGCACGGGAGCAAACAAATGTCAGTCAACGGCTTGGCCTTAGTTGTGTTTTGTCACACAAGCAGCTAAGATGCAAGGGCGGTGTCCGAGTTGAGCTCAAACACGTACAAGTGCTTCTCGTTGTCGGAGGCAAGCAGTCTGGTAGACTTTGGGGGTTTGTACCAATCGGCTGCCCCCATCTTGAACAACGCCTTTTCCTTGGCCTTCACTGTCAAGGACTCCTGCGCTTGCAAGTAGACCTTGAGGTCGCCTAAGCCCATAACCAAGTTCAAGCCTTTGATCTCTGTGGCGCATGTGTGGGTCGTTCGGCCATCCAGCAGGCTCGCAGGCTGGGCCTCCCACTCTGCAGGAAGCTCGCCGGCGGCGCCGGTTTCCTCAGCGGTGACCACGGTGGTGGCTGCAGATCCTGATCCTGACGAGGCCGCAGCCATCGCTGCCGCCGTCGTCTCCACGTTGCCTGTCGCCAGCTCATCGCACTTACGAAGCTCTGCAAGCCACTCAGGGCCGTAGACTGGGTCTGAAGACCACTTCTTTCGGATTTGAGAGGGGACAACCGCTTTGCCCTCAGTGCTGACGGTCATCAACGTCAACTCAGGCATGGGGGGGTCAGAGAAGCGCTTCGCCTCTGCGTCCGGCAATCCGGCTGCAGTTTGAAGGACGCCTCCTTCCAGTCAAGCAGCAAAGCCTTGCCAACACGACCCTGGCAGGCCTGAGCCGAGAGCAAGTCCAAGCCCAGGCTGCAGACTCGCCAAGAAGATGGCCCCTTGTTGTTGGCCTTGAGGCACCCCAGCTCCAGCCCGCCATCGTGAGGGCAGAAATTGAACACCGCCACTGCGTCGCTTCGCTTGGTGAGGATCGGCTTGGGGGAGCTGTCGCTGGTGTGAAGCAAAGCCTGGAAGAGGGCCATCGGCACGCTCTCTCCAGCAAGAAGGTGCGCCGCTCGCTTCTCCAAACTGAGGTTGCCTGGGGAGCTTGGAGCGCCAGGTTGCGCAGCTGTGAGCACATAGTCAGATGGGCTCATCCAGTCGGCTTCCTTCATGGTTGCCTTTCGGCGCAACAGAAAGCTGCTGGTGAAGGGGTTGGAATCTTCACCAGATTCTGGGATGAGAACGTACGCATCATAGCAAACTTGGCGGCTGTCGTTGCCATGGAAGGACACCTCGGACATCCTCAACGACACCAAGATGGGGATGAAGCCCTTGTTCTCCGCCTTCAGCTCCAGGCGTGCCCGCTCCGCTCGATCTCCTGTCAGCACAAGCTTCGCCAACTCCACCAAAAGTTCAATATTGGGCTGTTTCTCCCGAAAGTGTTAGCGAAGGATTGTTTTGCAAAACAGGTTGCTGGCCACTCGCAGCCTCACATTTACAGCGGTGGCACAGCGGCGCAGGCGCAGCACAGCGTTGCGCAGGTTTGATCGCAGATTCGCATTCACAGCTTAGCGTTGCACAGCGATTACGCGACTGGCGCACCAAACGGAAAGTTGATAGGCAGTCTGGCTTACCCAGTGCTGCCTTGCAGCCTGCGTTACGCAGCCTAGCTCACGCGGCCTCAAGATCACAACTCTCATCTCTGTCATCTCTGTCTTCGTTCTTGGCAGCGGGGGGGGTTAGGTTTCGCAGGCATCGGAAGGATAAACTCTACAAATATCGCACGTGTCTGGCTTACACGGCCTGCCTTTCGCAGCCTGGCTTACACTACGCAGTCTGGCTTTTTCTGGCTTACACAGCTTGCGTTACGCAGCCTGACCTACGCAGCTTGGCCTACAGCTCTTTTCTCTATCTTCCTGCTTTGCGGGGCGTAAGTTTGGTGGGCATCGGTGGGCGAACCCTTTGCGAAAATTGCGTGCGTCGAATCGCTCTCGCTGTGGCCGTCCGTGCGCCCGTTGGCCGTTGAACCCTCTGCGGGGATCGGGCGCATCGGCTCACTCTCGCTGCGGCGCCGCGCAAACTTGAAGGCTCGCCAGCAAACTCGGCAGGGATCGGGTGTGTTGGATCGAGTGGCTGCGCCTGTTGCAGAGGAAAAATGGCTGCTGCAGGGATGCCTGTTGGGTGAAGCAAGCGCTGCGCAATGTGTTTTACTCGTGTCGCGTCATCAATTGAGCATGCTATGAGACAGGGGGGAAAAGCCGTCGGCGCAGATCAGGCCTGAGCAGATTTGTCCGACTGCGCGCGGCCTTGTCATCGGCTCCGGCAGTCAGCTCTGCATGTCGCCGCAGCAAGAGGGATCCGACGCAGCTCCCTACATAGATTTCACCCGCGAGCTTTCAAATTCGCGTGGCATCACTGCGAGATCTCTTAACGTTGCTTGCTTTTAGCTTGCATTGTCGCATGGCACAGCTTGTCTGACACACACACACACACACACGCACACCCACACACACACACACACATCCGCGCCAAATCTCTTTGCGCTACGCCTTGAAAAATATTGAACCTACATTCCGCTTCCAAACCGTCCAGCGCTAATCACAACGCGTCTTGAGCTGGAACCTTGCGTGCCACGTTGTAGCTGCTGAGCCTCGGCTACTGGAACTTGGCGCGGGATGTTGATCTTCTACGCGGGTGCGTGCACATTGGCGGAAATCGGGGGCCTAGGTTGAAGCCTCAAGTAAAGGCAGCCAACAATGTTGAACTTGCAGCTCCTGTCAGCCGCTTCTTGGGCACGACCGTGGTCGGCACGATGATGGCAGCAAAGTTGGTTGGGTCCTGCGCGGCCGCCTGCTGCACAACATCGAACATGTTGCTCACCGCGTCATCAGACATGCGCCCGAACTTGTTGCAGCCACAGTAGAAGATCTTGAGAACAACGCCGTTTGTTGATGAATCCGGGCCACACCGCAGAAAACGCGACCACGCCTGTACCTGAGACGCGCCCGTCTCGCAGCCCTTGATGGTGCACATGTTCTGCATGAACGGTTCAATGACCTGGGTCCTCGCTGAGTGGACTTGGTTTCGCACCCACGCAGCCAGCGCGATCTTCTGCGCTTTGCTGTTGCTCTGCTGCTCCTGGACGTGCAGGCAGTACTTGCACAAGTCAGCATTCAGAGACAGCATGTCTGCTTTGAACTGGCTTTCTTGCTGCTGCTCATTGATGGCATTGAGGTCAAGGCGCTTCTTTGCCAAATGACTGCGGCCACGGCCACTCCTGCAAAGTCCAATCAGGGCTTCTGGCCGCAATCTGGGCCCGGAATGTCGCCAGGAAGTCCTCCTCTGTGCCTGAGAGGCCATTATGTGATTGGCAAAAATGCGAGTGTTCCCGTAGCAAAAACAATAATACGCCTACTTTCCGAGACTTGGCGGGCCCAAGTCTGGCGCAGGCACGTTCTGTTTCCGAGACTTGATGGGCCCAAGTTTGGCACGGGCGTTTTCTCTTTCCAAGACTTGGCGGGCCCAAGTCTGGCGCATGTTCTGTTTCCAAGACTTGGCGGGCCCAAGTCTGGCGCAGCCATGTTCTGTTTCCAAGGCTTGATGGGCCAAGTCTGGCACGGGCGTTGTCTGTTTCCAAGACTTGGTGGGTCCAAGTCTGGTACGGGCATGTTCTGTTTCCGAGACTTGACGGGCCCAAGTCTGGCGCAGGCATGTTCTGTTTCCGAGACTTGGCGGAAGAAAACAAACCGCAAGTAAATGCCAAACAGCACCAAGTTGCATCTCTTCCGCAAAGCATCCCTCTCTGCATCAGGCTGTGTTCCCGCGTTGGCTAGGGCATGGCCACACCAGCACGAGTAATCGCAGAACTCTGCCCACTCGTCCAGGGTCAAGTTCTTTTGCCGGCCAGCTTTCAAATTGCGAAGAACCTGCCCGCAAAGGCCAGAAGAAGGAGTCGGAATCTAGCGAAAACCGACACTGGCAAACCTCCGCGACGCAGCGCCCCGAAGAACAACGCTCTCCCTGCCTCATGGTTCACAACCTCCGCCAGGATTTTCTGCTTCTCGGAGTCCATGACAAGCATTTGGCCCCAAATGGAATGATCGTTGGCTCTACCGCTCGAGCCCCCAATGATCCATCGCTTGGTCTGGAGGACCTTGAGCCTGTATGGGTTTGCCTTCTCCGGGGCGATGTCCAGCAGCCTGCTCACAGAACGGAGAAACGCAGGGCTGCTGTGAAGAATGCAGTTCATGATCGCATCCCTCTGCACAGCGGAGAGCTTGTACGCTGAGTTCCTTGGCTAACAATAGGAGGCAGGCCCAGTTTATCAAATGCCTCAAAGAAAAGGATTTTGGCGACATGCTTTGAAGTGAATGGTAATGCCAAAAGTCTGGCAACGCCCATCGTACTCCTCAAGAACAGACGCGAGGAGCTGCTGCATAAGGGTGAGGTTGTCCATGACATCCTTCCCTGGGCAATCTTCCTTTCCCAGCTCCAACATCGCGGAATGGAATTTGATAGCGAGCGAGACAATTGTTAGCGGCCGCCGTTCCTGCAGCATCTGGGACTGAAGGGTGGCCTCATACAGGCGCTCTCGGCTGGACTCTACAGCCTCCACGGACGTGTACACTTGACGAGCGCTCTGCAAAAACCTCAGGCAAAATGGTCACAGTACAATGTTAGCACTGTTCGCTTCCTGGATGTATTTTTCCAGCCAGGCTTCAAAGTCAAAAGCTTTCAAGAGGTGTTCCAGCAAGATTGGGCGTCGGAAGGTTTCGTCGCAAGTCTCCCTCAGGAGCTTTGGGATTTTCTCCGGCGAGGTTGCGCGGCAAGATTTCCGGCGAGGTTTTGGCGTCGGACGTTTCCAGCAAGGGGTTGCATCTTTCCGGCGAAGTTTTGTGAGCAGATGTCCGGCGAGGTTTTGGCGGTATCATTTTCCGGCGAGGTTTCGCGGCAAGTTTTCCGGCGAGTTTCCGGGAAACTCACCAGAAAATGGTAGGGGAAAACCTGCCCCAAAAAACCCTCGCCAGAAGCCAAACGGGCCCACAAGAAAATTGCCTGTGGAGCCTCCCCTAGACCAATTCCTCACCAGAAACCAGACGGGCTTTTTAAAAAAAAAATCTGGTGAGTTTCCGGGAAACTCACCAGATTTTAAATTGTAGCTGTACCTAGCCAATTTTGCAATTTTTCCCCCCAGCATGGTAGCCGGGCTAGGGCCAAAAATTGCAAAAAAATGCTAGGTACAGCTACCATTTAAAGTCTGGTGAGTTTCCCGGAAACTCACCAGATTTTTTTTTTAAAAAGCCCGTCTGGTTTCTGGTGAGGAATTGGTCTAGGGGAGGCTCCACAGGCAATTTTCTTGTGTGCCCGTTTGGCTTCTGGCGAGGGTTTTTTGGGGCAGGTTTTCCCCTACCATTTTCTGGTGAGTTTCCCGGAAACTCACCGGAAAACTTGCCGCGAAACCTCGCCGGAAAATGATACCGCCAAAACCTCGCCGGACATCGGCTCACAAAACTTCGCCGGAAATATGCAACGCCAAGATCTCGCCGGGTGAGTTTCCCGGAAACTCACCGGAAAACTTGCCGCGAAACCTCGCCGGAAAATGATACCGCCAAAACCTCGCCGGACATCGGCCTCACAAAACTTCGCCGGAAATATGCAACGCCAAGATCTCGCCGGATATCCCTTGCTGGAAACGTCCGACGCCAAAACCTCGCCGGAAATCAGGCCGCGAAACCTCGCCGGAAAACGGCCAGCGCCAAAACCTTGCGATAAAGCGGCCTACACAAAAAAACGCCAGAAAACCAAAATGATGCCAAGCCCTGCAGACCCGTGCGAAACATGACAATGACGGCAGAGAACACCGTGCGTGGGCACCCTGCCCAAATCTCCGCTCTCGTGGCACCTCCTGGCCTTGAAGCCTTGCCCTAGCCGTGACCCACGAAGCCTAGGAACGATGATTGCCTCATAGAACTGCTGCAACTGTACCCAAATTCCAAGCCAAGGAGCTGAGTCCACAGCTTCGTCCCCTCCTGCATTCTGGAAGCGTCGAGCGACTCGTGGCTGCCCGTGTCTTCAACAGCACCTGCCCCCTTCATGACGGCGAAGAGCAAGGCACTGATCCTCGAGAAGCCTTTCCCAGCCAAGTACGCAAACTGACCCTGACCTTTGTCTCCAGGGTGCAACGTGATCTTGATAAACTCCCGGTTGTCGTATCCGCGGGGCTCAGTCACAATGTCCTTCAAGCAGTTCATCCATTGCGGCAGCCGCGGCCAGTCCACCACTGCTTCGCCTGCCAGCTTCCCAGACCCCCTATCAAAAAGCAACTAGCGCAAATTCCATACCTCAACTTCACATAGCAGGTGGGGCAAACCACACCCACAACCTTGCCTAGCACATTCATCTCAGTCCGTGTCAAAACGAAGCTTGTGAGAGCGGTGTGGCTCGGGCTGCTTGCGACCGGCTCATCTGGCAGATATTTCATGAAAATGCTCAGGATTTCCGATCTTGCCGCAGCGCCAGTGTCGCCGAACTGCTCCAAGGCCCACTGGCAAGGATGGTCTTTCAAACTCTCGGCCAGCTTGATCACTGCCTGCGCACGGTTGCATTCTTCACGCAGCTCAGCACCCTGGCATGAAAGCACGCAATGAGCAGCAACTGGAGCATTGGGCATTTTTCTGCTAGACTACGCAGCAGGTGTTGAATTCTTACTGTCCTACACTTGGCGGTAAAGCAAGGGCCGCATAGAGACAGCTACACCTTCTCGATGTAGAGCAGGGCCGCAACACAAGACAGGCCCCGAACATGGCAGTCCCTCCATTGGCACCAAAGCAGCACCAATAGCAGTCTCTATCTTCTAATAATCCTTCCACTAATAATAAAATAGCATTTTTCTTTTCATTATTAGTAAAGATTTCTATGGAAAGATATTGATTCTCTATCTATATCTTCTTCAAATTACCTCCGGGTTCTCTTCTTTCTCACATCCAGATAATGCATTAGAAGCATGTGGATTACTAACTCCTTTACATATAGTACCTGAATGGTATTTCTTATGCCAATATGCTATGTTAAAAGCTGTGCCAAATAAAAATGCAGGATTCATTATCTTATTTACTTCTATCTTCATCTTATTTTACTTTATGAGAAGTCTCTCTTTTTCATTCTATTTTATAATATTTACATCTAGTAGATTTAATGGTTTTTATCTGTGCTTTTGGTTTCTGAATCTTTTTTCTTTTATTTGGATAGGTGGTCAATTTCCTGTAGACAACTTTCTATCTTATGGTCGTATCTTGACATGTAATTATTACTATCTTATTATCTGTATCTTATTGTCTTTTTATTTGGTTTTATTTGCATTTTTAGAATTGTTGGTTAAAATCTTAGAATTATGGAAATTACAAAATGAAGATAATGAAAGGCTAATAAAAGATAGATCCAGAGGTTTACCGAAAGTTGATGAAAAGTTGATTATCTATCCTCATCTTGGGATTATGTTAGGTCTCAATTGGAATTATTCTCTAGGGATAGGTAATTGCTAAGAAGAATGGTGATGGAGAAAGAAGAAAAACAATAAAAATGATGCATGAGATTCAAATATTAAACCTAATAAAAGCTTATAATGAAGATATGAAGGGTAAGGATGGTTAGGATGGATGTAGGTCTATTTCTCCATCATAATGCTGTTATTACATTTAATGTTTAAAACATTTGACATGTTGATCATAAAATCTTGGAAATATGCCATCATTCACTTCTTTTATTATTTGCATTTCTTATTTTAACTTTTATTGGTTTTACTTTGATATTTTTATTAGCATTATATGGTTTCTGAATTATTAAGCAAACAAAAATAAAAAGATAAAAGGGAAAAATATGAACAAGATGTTGATACTATGAAAAAGTCATTCCATGGAATGCATTAGAGATAAGATAAGATGCATGACAATAAGAAAATACAAAATGATTATTGACGGATATTATTGTAACCCATTGAATCTTAGCTTTTACAGAAGTTTCTGAATGAATTTTCCTGTCCCCTTCTTGCCCACAAGCGGCCCGAGCGCGTTATGGACTGAAAGAGCTTCGATAAACTCATGCTGCGCTAGTGCGCCCCCTTCCAATCCGTACGGACATCTGAGTCCTCAAGCCCGTGCAAACACATGAGTCGCAGAATGAGTCACAGCTAACCTCAGGGCCTACCCGACAGCGTGGCACGACTGCAAGCACGGCAGCACCACGCCTCTGCCCAAAACGGCACTTCGGTCTTTGAGCGCTTGGTAGGAGCAGCGCCGGGGCGGCCCGACACACGTTTGCCCATGATCACAGCACACACTGGCCCGGCTTGATGCAAAATGTCTCAAAGTTACCAACATGTGGCCGTGCTTTGCTAGCTGCTGGCTGCACAATGCCCTTGCGCGCAAGTAACACAGGGCAGGCCGGCAAGGTCTGACAGGCTTTGAGAGGCGAAAAGGCCTGACACAGCGCAAGCATGTGTTTCGGTCAGAGCCCTGCGGTTTTTGGAAATACTTTCAAAGGTCAAACATGTCCATGCGTGACAGTCGAGCAAAAAGCAAAGGCTGCTTTGAGGAACCTGAGCCAAAGAATCAAACACCCCGGTAGAAAGTTGCGACTGATACCACGAGGCGGTCACAAAACTACAAACACTCGTCAGCCAAAAAGGGTCTGTCACGTCATGGCCAAGATGAAACGGCGCCTTCTCCTGAAACTTGGAAATTCTCAGAAGCACACGTTTGTGACCATATTGAATCACGCAGGCCTTAGGGGCCTCATGAGCTGGAAACAAAATGGTTGGCAAATGAAACTGGTGGCGCATCGCTTGCGCCAGCCTCATGCCCCACACAGCTGTGCTCCAAGGCCCACTGGCAAGGATGGTCTTTCAAACTCTCGGCCAGCTTGATCACTGCCTGCGCACGGATGCATTCTTCACGCAGCTCAGCACCCTGGCATGAAAGCACGCAATGAGCAACAACTGGAGCATTGAGCATTTTTCTGCTAGACTAAGCAGCAGGTGTTACTATAGACAGCTATACCTTCTCGATGTAGACCAGGGCCGCAAAGACAGCGAGCACAGGGCCATTGACACCAAAGCAGTCTTGCCAACACTAGCTGGCAGCTCGACGTGAGGGCGTCGGAATCTTCTTGGTGTACAGGCCAGCCTTGCGCTCTCATGAGTTGCTTGCCTGACAGGAACTGCTGGAGTTGCACCAGGTACAAGCTGCCACTTGAGGTTCTCAGAGTCGGCAAGCATCCGTTGACCAACGCAGTCACGGGCCTTGCTTCGGATTGCCTCAGGTCAACCACAGGCGTCTTGCGAAGCAGCCCCTGCTGAATCAGGTTCTCATACTGCCGGAAGTGCTTCTCCTCGGAGTTGGTCATGCGCCTCGTGGACTGCATGTCTGGCGCCGCCGCAAAAATCTCCGGGTCAAACGGGCCTTTGTGTTCAATCTTGACTGCCGCCATTGCCTCGATCCAAGAGTTGACTTCGGGGCCTGCCCACTTGCAAGTACTTTTGCGCCATAGCAACAGGTAGAGCCGCGGCCGAGCCATCGGCAAGGAAACACCTCGCTCGGGTCAAGGTTGGATTCTGAGTAGTGGTAGATGTCCCTGAGCGCGGCAGCCAAAAGATCTGGAGGATATCTCTCAACATTCTCAAACACCAGCACATCAGGGGGGTCCGCTCTGATCTTTGCGATCCATGCTTCGTGGGATTTGTAGCGGGGGTCCTCCGTGCCAAGGCGTTTGCCAAAAGCGGACCATGGCGGACAGGCTGGCCCTGCAATCTCAATGCGTAGACCCAAACGGTGGTCAGCTGGCGGCGGCGCAGGATCACAGCATGCTTCGTGGGTACAGCACCACGCAGCGTGCAACCCTCGACACTTTGGGGGTCGTTTGCTGGCACCACGCTTGAAACGATTGACCACCTCGTGGATGTCATTGAAGACACACCGGTCCGGCCACCGTGCGTGAAGGACTGCTTGGCAATGAGGGTCCCAATCAAGCCGGCCCAAGCTGCAGTGCGCAGCCATGCATCCCCGCCAGGGCCTCCACGCCAGTCTCAGCCACGCCGCATCCGCTGAAGCTTGTTGTAAGGGTCACATGATCCAGCCGCTGCAAGGCTCGCCTCACTTTGTCTGCGCCAATGCTTTGGCTCATCGCTGCAACCATGTGCCTGGGCAGCTGGAAAATATCGTGGACGTCATCGATGCTAGTGAGAACTGCGTCGGGCAGGATGCCGGCGTGGGGCTGCGGGCTGCGGCTTCGCTCTCTGGCAAGGGCTCGCCAGAACAATTGTTTCCTGTCCCCTTCTTGCCCACAAGCAGCTCTGTCTCCCTGGCAGCGCGTTATGGACTGAAAGAGCTTCGATAAACTCATGCTGCGCTAGTGCGCCCCCATCCAATCCGTACGCACCTCTGAGCCCTCAAGCACCGGTCAGTACAAAGAGTGACACACCCATGCAAACACATGAGTCGCAGAATGAGTCACAGCTAACCTCAGGGCCTACCCGACAGCGTGGCATGACTGCAAGCACGGCAGCACCACGCCTCTGCCCAAAATTGCAGGGGCAGCGCCGGCTTCAGGTCACCGCTACGCTTGCCTTGCTGCTGGCTGCAAAATGCCCCCGCGCGCAAGTAACACAGGGCAGCCCGACAAGGCTTTCACAGGCGATGCGTGCGTCGGTCAGAGCCCCGCGTTTTTGGAGATACTTTTGAATGTGAAACATGTCCATGCGTGACAGTCGAGCAAAAAGCCAAGGCTGCTTCTGAACCCGTGCCAAAGAATCAAACACCCCGGTATAAAGTTGCGACTGACACCACAAGGCGGTCACAAAACTGCAACCACTGGTCAGCCCCCTGCGAAATGAGTCTCTAAGGTTTGCGCAAGCTCAGAAGCACCTGTGCTTGTCACTAAAATGAATCACGCGGGCCTGAGGGGCCTCATGTGCACATTTGTGCTCAAAGCTGGAAACAATATGGTTGGCAAGTGAAACTGGTGGCGCATCGCCTGCGCCAGCCCCTCATCCCCCCACAGCTGTGCATCCACGGCAAAGGCGGAAAACTCAGGGAGTTGCCCCGCTGACCCCGAGAAAGCTGCCTCAGGTACAGCACTGCACGCTGAACAGCCGACTCCTCGTGAGTTTCCAGGAGCGCCAAAGCACATGGAAGCCACCCAACAGCATCAACTGGAGGGTTAGGTTTACGTAGATCTGCTGGCGCCCGAGGCATCCTGCAGAAGAAAGCCTTCAAGTACTCGCGAGGAATAACCACCCGGCAGGCCTGACTTTGCACATTGTCCCACAGAAACCTCTTCACAACCATCACTGTGTCCAACGGGTGAGGCTCCAAGCCCAAGGACCTTCCTGCTGCAGTGCGCGGGGCTTGGATTTCAATATCTTGCCGTGGCAAATCTTTTCCTTGCCGGGCCGAGGACCAAGAAACATGTTGGCCAACACCCAGACCGAAAGGCGCCGAAATGGTTTACACTGCAACAAACAAGTTACAAAACACAGTGAGCTTTGAAGAGCCCAGCGTCGATACAAGAACAAAAATGCGTGGTTGGCTGTCAAATCCAGCCTGAGGCCTCCTGTGATATGGATTTGCAATTGGTTGAAATATCCCTGCCAGTCACGGACACTTTCAAGCACCTCCACAACAGGCCGGCGCAAGACTGCCCGAAGCTCCTCAGCCACTGCCCAAATATCCGGAAGGAAGTCCAACCATTGAAACTGCCGGGAGAGGACGCCAAACATTTGGTCCAAAATGTTGTGCGTGTGTCCTTTAACGTGGTTCAGCAAGGCTGTTGATGAAAACAGCCCCCGGGACTGCAACATAGCCAAAAATAGCATCGTCGTTGTGTTCTTGGACTCCCGCACTGTGTTATCGGCTATCAGCGTCATCTCACATGGCACTGGCAGATTTCTCTTCTCTGCAGTGCGTTTGACGTGCTCTAAAGCCCTTGCCAAGCATTCGCAAACCATGCTGCTATCATGGGGCATCACCGAATCAGCCACAAACAGGTGCAGACCAAAGTAAAAACACCAGACCCCTTGCACCTTGCATTTCGGCCTTTTGCAGGACGGGGATCCAAGCTTCTTCGCTGCCCGCCACGCTTTTAGTCTTGGAACAGCCCAATGGCTCTGGTCCATCCCGTCAGTGCAAATCGTCAGAATAGGTTTCGGGCCTGTGGGTGGCATTGATCTCAATGCTTCCTCCAACTCCCGAGACATTGCGACCTGCCTGTAGTGCTGTTGAAGACTGTTGGTAGCATCCAGCAATTCAGAGTAGCCTTGATGTCCCTTTTGAGGCCTGAACAGTAATCGCATTCCACAAAGTCGCCCTTGCTTCGGAATCGCAGGCAGCCTTGAAATTTCTTCCAGTGCCTGTTGAATGTGCTAAAGCTCACCTTCTCTCGTCCTTGTCCGGCAGTCATGTCCCTGTGAAGGTCATAGACACTTCCAGGTGGCAAATACCGCAACGGAAGGCCAATGAGGTTTGTGCCCAGCCCTGTTTGCATGTAACGGGTAAACACAGAGGAATCTGCTAAAATCTGCTCAGGCCCAGGATCGGGAGGGGGGCCACTGTCAGACTCAGAGCCAGAGCTGTCTGGCTGACCCATCAGCGTGCACCGTTGCGCTTTGCGCTTCATCCACTTGTTGTGAAACTTGTGGGGGAGCGTCTCGCCAAGTCCTTTCTGGTTAGGGCAGACCTTGAAACACGGTAAGGAAGGAATAAGAAAAAACAGCGCAACTACAATTTAGGCTTTCTTGAAGTGCAAAGGTTAGTTTTGACAAGCAATGCCCGGCAGGCGACTGCATCCAGGGTGCTAGTATACAGCGTCACGAGGTAAGCGCGAACTTTGGCCTCTTGACAGGCCACGCGAGCCAACCGAGGCTGACCTTTCATTCGGAGATCCACGACCGTCTCGCCGCGCGAAAACCTTGCCAGCCTCATCTTGCCCGGCTGAAACAATCTGAAGCACGCCAGGGAAAGGAAAAGGCCCAGGACACACACCGATTCTCCAACGCACTGCTCCAACACTGTGTCTGCAAACAAGCTCAGCAGCTGGACCAGCTCATCCATGATGGCCTGGAATTGACTGAAGCAGCATTGTCGGGG